AGGTAGAGAGAGAGAGAGAGAGAGAGAGAGAGAGGGTTCTATCAAATATTCCTCGCCACAGACAGATGGATCCACAGCTAATTTCTCTCCATCTCTATACCCTAATCTCTCTTCTTGTCTCTATAATCTGTCTCCCTGTAACCATCCCTCTCTACATGAGTAAAAAAAAGTGTACGGGTCAACTTATCTCATTTCCCATAAAAGTAGTGAAATGCGAACCATAGAGTGAAATGCGTGGTTCTAAAAATAACCACCTAAACCTCCCATAAAAGGGAAGAAGAGAGAGGACAGATGGCTTCAATTCTTTTAACAAAGCAAGTTAGTGAAAGAGAACATGAAAACTGAGAAATGTAACATTGAGAAGAGAGACGAAAAGAAGAGGCTAAGACCAGTAAACCATGGGAGGACTTATAGATGATACAGAGAGGTAAAGAGAAGGAAAGATGAAACTCTTAGTAAGCTTCAAAGTAAGATCTCTATAAATCATCACGACAGCCTGCCTTTTTTTTTAACAGTCCCATTGGTTGTTCATGCTTGTAAATTTCTCCATCATTTCTTCATGAGATCAGATGTTTTCTCTTCGAAGGTTGTGACTAATGGGGTATCAAATTAATGCCCTAAATGGAGGTCTAACAGTTGTAAATTTATAATGCAAAACCCCAAAAGGGAGAACTGGTCATCAAGTTTGGCTTCTTTGATGATTGAGTTTCAAGACCCTCGAAATTGGTTAACAAATTTCTTGCTCTCCTCGTGGAGGAAATATCGTTCAATCCCCTACTTATGTAACTTTTTTTTTCTTTTTGAATAAACATGAAGGAGAGAGAGAATGAATATAGATAGAATAGGACCTGTTGGGGTTTTGTGGCCTTCAAAGGCCTTGAAACTTGGTCCTTTTTTATGGAAGCTCTTTCTGCATTCGCACTGTGTTTGTACTCACGCTTTTAGATTCCTAGTTTGAGTGGGGGTGTTAGACTTGCATGGATGAACATGCTATGTGAGCCTGCCCTACTTGGATAAAACATGCCATCAGGGTGGATGATTCTACTTGGATGAAATTGGCCATTATAGCAGGTGTGAGTGGGCTCTACTTGGATGAAACATGGCATTAGAGCTGGTTGGAATTGTCTCTATTTGGGATTTGCAGGCTTCTTCACTTGTGCTTTAGTGTATGATTAGGCCTTGGCTAGAAGAGTGAAAAAAATTTAAAATATAGTCATTGCCTCTCAGTTTGGTATCCAAGCCTACTTTTGCTGTATGTATTTCCCAACTTTTGGCTTGGTTTTTGAGTTGAAAAACCAGTCATGGCTATCGAAAATGCAGTAGCTGAGTTGCTAATGGAAGAGAAGGTTGATGGTTTGAACTAAGAAACACAAGATTTGGTATGTGTTGCATGAGGAAGGTTTGGTGCACATCCTCACAACACCATGCTCCACTGAGCCAATGCTTCAGAGGCGATAAGAGAAGCCTTTTCTTAGTAGGTGTGGCAAAATATCTCCACTGAGCATCCTTTGTTGGCCTTGATGGTGGATTCATATGCATTGGAGTGTGAGATTAATAGAATTGCATGTGAGAGCCATGAATGGAAGGAGAGCGACTTTGGTATTCCCTCTCTGATAAATAGATCCCTTGCTAAGATGATGTTTTCTAACCTCAAGATGCAAAAGGAAAACAAGGTTGTTGAGCAGATGGAAACTTTTTGAGGCATGGTTTGTAAGGTGGAAATGTTTAAACTTCAAGTGGAGGAGAATATTTAAGTGGTGGATCCCAACTGCCGCTTGTGAGAATTGTTCCTTAGCGCACCACTGAACCACCATATGGTGGCATGGCAGAGTGCAAAGGCCGCTTTGATGAATTATCTTCCTAACTCATGGGATGCATTCTTAGGGATCTCTCTCAGCTTGCCGGACTTAAATTTGATTAGATGAGATCATCAACTTCCTCAAGGTAAAGGAGGAAAGGTTGAGCAGGAAAGGAGGACCAAATTCTAGCAACACCATCCACACGACATTTAACTACTCAAGTTTTGGGTCAAAGAAGAAGAAAGGTTCTTAGAATAGTATGAATCATCCAAAGAAACCAGGATAGAGAATAAAACTAATGACAACCCTTCTTACCCAGGAAATAAGAAAAATGATTTTAGTTAAAGCAAGTGTTCAAATGTGGGAAGGGGTTCAATTGGTTATTCAAAGTAATTGCTTTCCAATCCAGATTGAAAGTGACTCGGCCTTGCTTGTGAATGTCATTCAGAATCGATGCAATGCTCCATGGAGACTTAAGACGATTGTTAACGATTGTTAATAATTGTTGCACCAGACTGTCTTTTCATCGCTGGTCCATCACACGTCTTTCGTGAGGCTAATATGGTTGCCGATGCCCTAGCTAAGAGGGCAGCTGCTGGCCCCGATGCTACTGTGTGGGTCCATAGACCACCAGATTTTCTTTTCTCTCTTTTATTACATGATCTGACGTAATTTCCCCACTATAAGGTTGTATCTGAATTGTTTTTTTCTGCTTTTTTATTAATAACAAACGGGTAGGGGGCCTTCTCGCCCACTGACTTACCCAAAAAAAAGTGTTTAAATGTGGGAACTAGGACACGAGATGGTACTCCAAGTTTGAGGGAGCTGATGAGTATACCCGAACTGAGAACAAGGAGTTAGCCTATGTAAGCTCTCAGTCTATGGTAGCACACACAAAGGACACATCTTGGTGTTTAGACTTTAGTTCTACAGCCCATGTTGCAAGTACTAAGTAAGGTTCTTCAAACCTATAGCATTGGGTGACCAAAATGTGTATATGGGAGCTTACCAAAATACGGAAGTGCTCATAGTAGAAGAACATGTTCTTAACTCTTGCTCATGACATATCTTTGGCTCTTAAAGATACCCTTCTTGAGAGGAAGAATCTTCTTACAGTCCCTGAGTTGTCAAAGGCTGGTTTTATAACAATATTTTTGGGTGATAAAGTTGAAGTCAGGTTTGGTTCTCATGAGTGTAAGCTAGTTATCTCTGGGTCATTAAACAATGGGTTGTATGAGTTTGCTTTGATTAAGATGAAATCTGTATTTGCTTATAAGGTGACTCATAAGAACAATGATAATGTTATGCACTTGTAGTGCATGAGGTTCGGGCATGTGATTGCTAAGCATATGGAGATATTGATGTGAGACTGACATTTTGGAGAATGTAAAAGGCAATCTTTGGAAAATGTGTCATGCATGGAAGGCAAACTCAGTAAGAAACCATTTTTAAAAGCCAAGAGGGCAGTTGGCTTTTTGATGTTGTCCATACTCCCTACTGACCTCTGTGGACCAATGAATGTATTTTATAGATGACCATTCTTGTCTCCTTAAGAGTAAATTTGATGCATCAAAAACTTTTAAGGAGTTTTAAGGCTAGGTGGAAAAATCAAACCGGTAGGAAAATTAAGGTCCTTAGGTGCGATAAGGACAAAGATGTTCATCACAATTTTGATTTTTGCACTCAACATAGTATATATAACCAATTTACCACATCATACACTCTTTAATAGAATGAGGTGGCTGAGAGATGGAATAGGAAACTAGTGGAAATGGTAAGGAGCATGATGGGGCGTACTA